TATGAGGAAAAAATCCTGAGGTACTACTGTATAATTAGGTGTATAATTCTATAATCATATTTATATTAAATTTATATCTAGTTTAAATATGAGTAAAGGAATTAAAATAGGAACAATCATTAACCCAGTTTAAAATGATCACTATATAAACAAATTAAATGTTTTTTCCTCTATGAAATTTCGAATGCCTTCAGATGTTCAAATTAAACTATTTATTTCAATATAAATTTTTTTTTAACAATACCAATTTTAAATTGCAAGTACAAACTTGTGCCTGTGGAGCAATGACTGCTTATGAAGCACTCACCATTGCTCCATAGCAAAGGAATGAAGGTCCAAGTTATGTCAAGGTTTTATTTTAGTTCTAGCATATTTCTGATTTGTATATGCCATCATGGGTTATATGCAAGAAAATATAATAATTATTCAATTTTTTTGTATACAGTGATACCCCGAACTTACGCGATAGGTGGGACCGAGCGATAACCGCGTAAGTCAAATTCGCGTAAGTCGGGGTATAATTTCGCAATTTGTGTAAAATCCAAGTTGGAGGTATGTAAGCTAATAAATGTTCTCGTTAATCTTATCTCGTCTTTTGATTTATTCACGGTTACAAGAAATCACCACATAGAGTCTCTCGAGTCTCCGTAGATATAAAATACACAGAAATAAATAACACAAAATAAATTGTAGCTATGCGTCAATTCCGCGCGACACGACCGAACATGTAAGCTGAACAATAGTGTGGGGTGAGTGAGTAATCAAGAGTTGCCTGGTGCTCAAACAAAAGACGATTCGACGAGATTTGAAAATCGCGTAACTCCGGGTTCGCGTAAATCGGGGTAGCGTAAGTCGAGGTATTACTGTATTAATCTATTTATTCACTTAATAAAATCAGACAATGATTTATTATTAACAAGAAAATAAATATATCATTAGCATTTTTATTAATTAATTCTTACAATTTGATAATATAATATGAAATTAACTAATAACTAAACAAAAAAATTATACAGCATCTGAATAAAAAATCAAATCAAAATCTCTTTTAATTTAAATTATCATTTTATAATTATTTTTTAACTTACATTTTCCAATATTTGAGCAACTTGTAATATTATTTATGTTTCCTTTTTCTCTACACCAGTCTTTACCTGAAATTTTTAAGTTTAAAAATTTATTTACAATTTAAAAAAAAGAAAGAATATTCATAAATTAATTTTACCTTGTAACTCATCAATTGGTGTTATGAAGAGAGAAAACCATGCACGATGAAAAGCACGTCTGAATAATTCTGTATCAAGTGGAAAATCTGGATATAAAGTAGCTTGTATGACTATTCCACCACTAATTATTACAAGCATTGTCATCCTCATGAAATTTACAAAATCAACAAGAACCTTCAAGGAAAAAGATATTAAAATTCTTTAAATGATTTTTCAGAATTTATTATTGAAATTTTTATATATTAATAAATGATACAGTGCAAAATGGACTTATATTAAACATAAAGAACAACCTTCATTTTTTCTAACAATAAAATTTCAAACCTTTTCAAATCACTTAAGACTTATCTTCAGGTTCAAACATATGGAATAAACTACACATGCAGGTGTTCCATTGGATTTAAAAATAAGTATTAATTTGCAATAAACCAGAAATTTGAAAAAATATATAAATATAACTCATAATAAAATTAAAAATAAATACAAATAACAGACATAAGAATATAATATAACAATATGAATAGCTTATGCCAAACTATTACTATTTTAATAAAAATTTTTACATGTTGAAAATAGATACTGCATCTCTTTTATTGATGTATTCTTCCTTTTTGAGGACTTTGCACATTTCTATAATCTCAGTGATATTATAAGTTAATGCTTATTTTTAAATCCAATAGAATGTCCACGTATGAGGTCTGTTTCATATGATTGAACCTGAAGTAACTCATTAATCATTAAGTGACTCAAAAACATTTCTTTATTTGAAATTTGATTGCTGGATAAAGTAAAAGTTGTTGTTGATATTTCTTTATGCATTATAGTAATTTACTACTAAGAACTATTTACAAGATGTTATCAAATTTATTTGTCAGTAAAGATTCACATTACCAGTAAAATATTACTTCAAACTATTGTAAGACTGTAAAAGTTTCATTTATTCAAATCTTCAAATAACTAGTTTGGAAGTTTACAATAAATAAGATAGATGACTATATTTTACTTTTACAATTTAAATTAATCTATCCTTGATAATTTGAATTTTACATAGTAATTATAAATTATAGTGAATAAGAAAATATAAATGATATGAATTGTTAGTTGGCAAACATCTGAAAGAGAAGTTATCACTTTGTTTAGAAAAAAATTAAACTTATACAAACCAACAAAATATGTATATAACAGGGGTGGCCAACCTGCGGCTCTTTGAAGGATTATTTGTGGCTCTCGTTAAATGTACTGTACCCGAGTTCCCTTTTCATTTTTGTGTTATTATATTTTAAAAAATTATTATCGTCCGTATGTGTTTCAAATGTCTTTTAAATTACTAACAAAAAAATATGAAAGACTAAGTGCAATGTTGTAACAAATTTCATTTCCGTCCAAGTTAAGAATGATATGACTCATCGAAAACTGCGCGAATGAACATAAACAGTGGTGTAATCGTCCGTTATCGACCGACTCCAGACCGATTTTGAATTTGTAAACTGTCATTGCAATGGACAGTTGACATTGTGCTCTGGAGGAAACAAGTTGTATCACTCTTGCTACGGATATATTTTGTAATTGGAATTTTTTGCATACCTTTAATTGCGGCTCGTGAAAAATTTCAATTTTGAAAAATGGCTCGGACTATCAAGGAGCTTGGCCACCCCTGGTATATAATAATATAATGACAAGATAAACAATAAAAAGTGGACAGGAATGACTTTTAACAACATGATATAAAATCAGACATTCATTTCTTTATGATGGGCAACATGAATTATGAAATGTAAAACTTAAATATGCAGAAAACCAGATAAATGCAAATGTAAATTCAAATTTTAATGTCCCCCAATTTAATCCCAATTCTCTCAGAGCATAAGTTGATGTCTTATTCAACTCAGTCATCTGACAATCACTTGAAAATTTAGTCAAGAAAGAATTAATTATGAAATTTAAGTTGAAAATAAAATCATTATTGATCAAACATTAATTTTACAGTATGATAGAAAAAATAAATGGAACATTTCTTCTATTGCTTTAAATAACAGATAAGCAAATGTTTTTTGGCATATTGCCCAAACTTTTAATACTAATGCACTAAAATCAAACATCTAAATAAATAAGAGTTAAAAACAAAATAGATTTTTTTCACAAACAAGAATAATCAAAGCTAGCTATAACATTTAATACATACACCTCAAGAATCTTTCAGAATAAATGATTTATAGATAACATATACAGAATCTTTCAAAAAGAATTCTACTATTTTAAATATATTTATAAAATTTAAAACAATGGGATCGGTAATATTCTTAAAATTTGTAAATTCTAAAAATAAATAAGATTATTTTCAGATTAAAAACAAGTAAAATTACTCTTTCTTATCCAACTTCAAGTGATTCATTTAAGCAGACAAACAAATAATGAAGAAATACTAAACTTTAATTACCAATAACTCATTTTCATTAAGTTCACAAAATTTTGGAATCATATTTATTTTTAGAATTTACAAATTCCACTATTTTAAATTACTGTAATTATATTAATTACAGTAGAGCATCAATTATCCGACTCAATTGGGAACTGGAGTTGGTCAGATAACTGAAAAAACGGATAACCGAAAAATATGAAAAAATACATTATAGTATATTATATTAGTATATCTCATGTAATTAGTTAACTCATGTAATTAGTATATTATTATATCGCTATTAACCTACTTCACATTGAACTTTCATCAATGTTAAGCCTAACAAAAATTTTTTTAAAATAATAATCGTAGCTATTGTATCATTAAAAATTAGAAAATTAAGCCTCGTTTAAATACTGGCTCCCTTTCATGGTCGAGCCATGTTGCCAGCTAAAACACGTAAAAATACCATTAAAGTAGCCAAGACATAGCCAAATATTGTAGTGCCACATCACTAGTGAACATTTGAATTTGCCGACTAGAACGGTCAGTTAACTGATGTGATGGTTAATCGGAGGTCAGATAATCAATGCTCTACTGTATTATCTTAAAATAATTTAATATATTTCAAAACATATAAAATCTCTCCAAATTTCATACCTGTTCATTACAATCCTTCAAAATGTGCACCTTGTGTCACATGATATACATCCAGCCAATAATCAATTTCTTCCCAGACTCACTATAACATATCCATTGTCACTCCTACCAAAGCAGTCATAATTTGATTCTGCAGTTCCTGCAAATTCCTGGGCACAGACAGTGTGTTTCACATAGCTCCACAAATGGAAATCACAAGTTGTCAGATCAAGGGACCTAAGAGCCAGCAGACAACAGACTGTGATTGGGTCTATGATATTTGATGCCTTGGGCACAATCACTGAAGAAAAACACAATTCATAACTTTGCAAACCTTATAAAAATGAGATGGAGCCCCAACTTGCTGGAAGATGTATTCACCAGAATCTTGATTCAGTTGAGAAAATGGCCAGAACAGTGAGTATGGGAAGAAACTGACTATCAGCTGGATATTACAAACACCCTAATTTTTAGTTTTTTCAATTTTTTAAAGTTCATCTTCAAAGACACTAGATAAAACAAAAAGATCATCTATGGGGCAATTAAAGTTTTTGCTCAATATATCAAGTTTTTAGGCTTAAATTTTCAAAAAGTTTCTTTAACAAGAAAAGCCTTTCTATATTCAATATAATAAAATAAAACAAAACACCAACTCCTTAATGCATTAATAATATTTGAAATTTTATATAATTATATGTACTATATTTCCATGATTAAACTCTGGGATTCGAATAAATCCCAGTTTTTGAATAAACGGAGGAAATAAAAATGCCATTAAAAATAAACCCTGGATTGAAAAATGTGGGAAACATGTTGAAGTACTGCACTGTACAGGGTAAATGTAGTTCTGAGTGGCAGGTAAAGAATAAAAAAAAATTCTACATCTTCAAATTATCTAGAGACAGTCAGCATTTTCTATTCTAAAGTTCATGAAAACATTTTTTGAAATAAAATTATAAATATTATCAAATATTGAGCATGGAAAGTTGCAACCAAGTCCAGAGCTTATCAGCCAAAGGGTAATTAGAAAAATTCTAATTGGAAAGATAAGGAAAGTTTGAACCAAAAGATAGCTGTCAAGATTTTGATTCCTGCAATGATATTGAAGCAGACACAAATGACAACGGAATAACTAAATTGAAAGATAATGAATCAGATTGACTACAGTAATACCCCGAGTTACATAAGTAATGTGGACCATAGACCTTTATGTAACTTGAATTTTACGGTATATAAGTTGAATTTGTAAATTGCTTAAGTTTAGCTACATAATTAATAACACAATATTGTATTTTTTATTTGTGTACTGTACATATATTATTTATTATTTATTTTTTTGTATAATTTTATTTGTCATTTCAATTGCATTTTAATGGTACAGTACTGTAAATAAACAACGAACACTATGTAAATTTAGTGGTGGTAAACAGGTTATATATTAAACAAATCACTTGAGGCAAACTACACACTAATGATGTAAAACAACTGTGGAATTCCAACTCATCTATTTTGTCTCTTATATTAGGAGCATAAGAATTGGAGTCGGATGGCATAGGTTTTACCATATGAGTATTTTCTTTTTGCTCTCAATTTGTTCATTATTTCTCTTCTTTCTCTGATTTCCTTCTCTGCCCTCACCCTCTCTTGTTGTCTTTTGAATGGCTTTGGGGAATAACCCGAAAAAAGTTCTAGGTAAAATTTTCATATCCTCTCTCTCAGTGGGAGAGTGAGAAATGACCTTTCACACTTTCGCTCTCCCCGCACTTGGCATCACACCTTTCTTTCTTCCCCCTCATTCCAATCTATGGACTGCTAGCCAATTAACAAAATAACATAATTTTGCTGGATGAAAGAGGGTAATGACAGTCACAGAAAAGAAGAGATCAAACCAAACCTATACACATACATCCTATTTAGCTTGATGTCTTAACAGATAAAACCTATTAAATATCTCTCCAAATTAATAATTATTGCTAAGGTTGCAATACCAAACCTTAACCTTAGTCACTACTGGCAATTAATTTAGTATGTTTGACAGTTGTTATCAGTTTTATTAGCAATGGAGTAACAATATTGGATAGAGAAAGTAATAAATTTATTGAAATGCTAGATTCCTGACAATTAACATAAACAACACCTGGCCACACAAAAAACTTAGACCACATTGCATCAGAATTCCCCTTGTCAGTTCCCAGAGACTAGTATAAAAAGGGATTGCACCCGCACCTCGGGGCAATCATCGAAAGGAAGTCTCCCAACTGGAACTACATTCAGACCTCTCCTCCTCATTTCTGAAAAAAGGACCTCTTAGACTTGATTGCTGTAGGCAAAAAGATACTTGCTTGGACTAATAAATTCTTTCTGTCAGAATAGATTATAAGTTAGACGATTATTAATTCCCGAGATTTAACCTGTTGGACCAAAACCTGTGAAATTATTGATTACTGAATCAAAACCGTCGCATTATTAGCATTCTTTATCTTTAGAAACAATTATTGTATCTATAATTTTGTACTTGTATAATCTTAGTCAATTTTAGTTTGTATAATCTTAGTTGTTAAATAAATATATTATTCATACGTTTAAATACATCTCATCCTTGAGTACGGCTAACACGTTATCACGACCTCGCTGACCCTCCCACTTGTTTACACATAAGCCATCTCCTGATGCAAAGCCAGTAAGAAGGGTCGAGATTACTACTCAAACCCCCTTGGTTCTCACACAATACATATAGAAAAACAAGCAATAAAGATGTGCTTGGTTTTGCTGTTTGACCTTCACTGAGTACTGTAGAAGAATCTTGTTTACATGAGTGCCCAGTATATTTGCATATATGTGCTTACAATTAGATTGAAAAGTAAAGGATTAGCAGAGCAATAAAGTAATAAATTGGTACAGTGCGAAAGAAAGAAAGGAAGAGAGAGAGAGAGAGAGAGAGAGAATGAATGAGTGTTTGAAATAGAATAATTCTTTGTAAAATTACATGTCACTCTATTCAGATTTTTTTCCAATTTTTGAGATTTACATTTTACATAACTGCAAATTTATGTAAGTCGCATGTTACTTAATTCGGGGTATTACTGTATATAAACAATAATTATTTCAAATATTATAGCAGTAACCAATAAATATGGTCAATAATGGTTTTGATAATTTGAAATATGTACAAGTAATTAAGGTATTTCTTTCAATTTTTACCCACTCATATTCTGTTGCAAGATAATAAACACCAACCTCAAAAAACCCTGGAGATGCATGTTTTAAAAATAAACCTGAGGTTTAATTGAGAAAATATAGTAAAACATTTATATTAAGAAAAAATTCTATCCAAACTTACCATTAGTTTCACTCTGTAAAGAAGTGGTCCTAAAGTTGGTGATATAGGAAGATAAATAGCAATGAGTCGATAATAAAAATATAATAATCCAACACATAAGAGAATCTTTCCATTATATGGTTTTAAAAAAATTCCAACATTCAAAATTCTACCCAAAACATATAGAACAACGAATGCTATTATCAAGAGTATTTCTACGCATTTCAGAAATAATGGTACACTGGTATATTTCTGAAAAAAAATTATTATTATTATTAATTATCATGAGGAAAAAAGAATAATATTTATTTAACTAAAAGAGAAAAAAACTGTAAAAACCAAAAAATCTTCCTAATCTAGCATTTAATTTTGGATAAGTAAACATTCTGCTTTCAGATGACTTAACTAACTTATTTTAAATATGCTAGAATATTATGCTATGTTCAAATAATAATATATTTAATAATTTCCTTAGAATGTAAAAAAATACAGCAATGAGTTGTGTAACTTTCCTGGCAAAACAATTTAAAATTGTGTGTGGTGTCATCTGTTAAGACATTTAATTATAAAAAAACTTTTCATATTATTGGATCATTGAAAAATGAAATGGCCAATTTTTTTTAAATTTAAACTTCCCAGCCTTATAGTTCAACTTTTTTCTATGTGAACAGTGCTGTATGTTTGCAATTGATGAGCACACATATAATATGTGAATTTAGAACTGTAATCTCATTTATATTGTGAGTTCCACATGTTTAAGAGTACTTTTTCTGAAAGCAAAGAAAAAAGTATATTGAATATTTTTCTTTTACAAGTACAGTATAAGCAGGAGCATAACACAGCCAATAAAACCTTTGGTGAAGGTTCTGTGAGTGAACAGACCACTAGACATTGGTTCAAAAAATTTTATTCCGGGAATACAAATCTCAAAAATCAGAATTGAAGAACATCATTGAATCAAAATATCACCTGACTGTCTAGGAAATCATGGAAAGGTTGAACATACTGGACATTATTCAACCATTTCTCAACATCTAAACATGTTAGGGAAAATCAAGAAGCTCGAAAAATGGGTACTCCACAAACTCAATGAGAGATAAAGAGCATCATTTGGAGATCTGCAGTTCATCATAAAACTGAAAGTATTCAAATGAAATTCTTTCCCCATCCACCTTATTCCTCAGACTTTTTGCCAACTTTTTATACATTTGGACAGTTTTTTGGCAAGGAAAGTCTTCAAGAAAGAGGATGCAATAAAAAAAATATCTTTACTGACTTTTTGGCTTCTCATTCTCATAATTTCTATCAAATTGGCATTAATGCCATTTTTATTGTATTAGGAAAAATATATTATTGTTGGTGGGGACAATTTTGATTGAATATATAAGTTAATTAAAGAATTAAGAATATATTAAATTAATAAACATTCAGAGTCAGAAGTAAAAATTGGCCATTTCATTTGCAACAACCTAATATTAATTATTATAAAATGACAAAAAGCTTAATTTTGAGGGTGGAGATAAGTTTTATAAAAAATTGTAAATGCTAATAAACAGTGAAATCATTCAACCCCATTTGAGATATGACACCTATCTCCTCACCCCCTTGATCTTTAACCATCAAAATTTAATAGCATCAATCCCCCTAATACATAAACTTCCCTGCAAATTTTCAGAAATTTTTGACAAAAGGCACAGGAGTTATTAAGTGAAAAAAAGAGGGTGAACAAAATTCCCCCCCACACATACTAACATCTTTACATACAGAAAAATCCCTAAATTTTTTTGCATTTCTTGATGTTTCAAGGTTCCGAATCCAAAATATAAAATCTCGCAGGGTCATTTTTTGACTGATTGCTAGACTTTCCCTCTGTTATAAATAACAACCAGGAAAGTAAAAACAATAATTCTCAAAACGCTTACACTAATAAATGTATTCTAATTTCTATTGTTTATTGATAGAATACAATATAATTAATTAAATTTAGAAATTTTAAATTTAAGATAATTAAACAATATAAATTTCTTCTAAACATCAACAATCTGCTTATATTTTTAACAATTTAACTATACTTCAATTTTAATTTATTCAAAAATTATCAGATAAAGTACTCACTTTGAATAGAATATATGCTCGTCTGATATTTTCTATGGCTATGAGAAATGTCCATGAACAGACAATTATATCTAGAATTAAGATACCACAAGAAGGAGCAAGAACTGCAACACTAAATATCCCCAAATAAAACATATAAAATAACTGAAATAGTCAAAAATAAAAATAATTAGATATTACAAATTGGAATAAATTTAGAATATAATTTATGAAATAAAATAAAATTTAAGCAACATTATAATATAGCCAAAAAATAATATATAATTTTAAAACATTTATTTCAGAGAGAGTATTTTTAATAATAATAAAACAAAGTGCTAAAGTTCTCCTCATCACTAAAAAAATATTTAATCAGAAATGTTTTTGACTTTCAACTTAGATCATTCTCAGCTGATAGAATAAACAAAATAAATTTGTTTTAAATTTAAAATTACAAATTTGAATATGAGAAAATAAAAATAAAATAAATACATGAATAAATAAATGAATAAAATAAACTAAAAAACATAAATGTAATAATATACAAAAAATTTTGTATATATAAATATTCAAATATAAATAAATGTATGTGCAGCAAATACAAAATCTAAATTCAGTCAATTGTAAGTTATTTTCTAATGTTAATCAGTTATTATAGCCTTCTCCTTTCTCTCTATTTTAAAGACATTTGACATTATTTATTCTGGTCTTTGTTGTATATATATTTATTTATATTTGAATATTTATATATACAAAGCTTTTGCATATTATTATTATTATGTTGTGAATGCCATGCTCAACTGATACTGGTGCCATGTACTATGCCAGACCAAAGTCAAGGCATAGCTAACAAGAAACAAGTGTTACATTAGGCTTCTGTGTTATTGGTGTATGTGTCAACATCTAGAAACTTTCTAACAATATGACGTGTGTTCAATATTGCCCTTTTTGTAGTGCCATGTATATGTTTTTATTAAGGTTTAACATTTCTAGACTTTTGTGTAGTGTATGTGGTATAACACCAGTAAAAGAGAGGACAATAGATACAATAAATACCTTAGCCATCCTCCACATCTGTCTTATTACTGAGTGAGTGGAGTGTACTTGTTGATTTTTCAAGCTTAAGCAATTTATGTTATGAGTGTTTGGAACAGAAATGTCTATTATATAAGTGATCTTATTGCATTTGTCAATGAGAGTAATGTCAGGTCTATTATGATGAATTGTTTTATCTGTGATTATGGATCTGTTGTAGTAGATTTTGTGTGTCATTTTCTAATACTGCCTGTGGAGTATATTTGAGGTATGGTACCTGGGTGTTTAATAATCTGTGTTTGTGTGCAAGCTCTAGGTATATTATATTTGCTACTTGATTATGCCTATGTAAATAGTCTGTCTGTGCCAAGAGCTTGTAACCAGAGATTACATGTTGTATTATTTCTGGCAGAATGTGGAATTTTCTGCAAGAGTCGTTTGTAAGTGATGTATTCTTCAGGATGTGTTTTCTGTAGATTTTAGTGTTTATGACCTGATCTTGAATAGCAACCATAAACCCTTCAGTCTCTCCAAACAGACAGCCCCTAGTCAGCCAATAGTTTGTTGCAATTTTGTAAACATTGTCCTGAGCTAGGTAATAGACATGTCTTCCAAGAAGTGCCTTTTGGGCTAATGACTGCTTAATAGTGTCTATGTTATTTATGTATTGAGTTATGTCCAGATGCTCAGGGTATAAGTTTAAAGGTGTGTGGTTACTAGAGAATTGTTTATTGGCTGCACTCTTTGGTATAGCCCAAGAAACATGAAAAGGAAAGAAGAATAAAAGTTTTAGGAAGGGTTCAGGTTGAAGGTGAAATAAAGCGAGATAGGACAGAATGAAAGTTAAGAAGGTGTGTGGTTACTGTCTTCCAGAGTTATAGATTTATGTAATATTGATGTTTCTTGTTTTTTGTGGAAAACTCCCAGTGTCAGAATTTGTTTATAGTGCAGGTTAACTATATTAGTCAGGCCATGGCAACCTTCTTTACAAGAAAGAAGTGAAGTTTCCTTACTAAACTCCGTCTCAAGTTGGTTTTCTGGATTAAACACAACTCAATAATGTTCTTGTATAGTTCGATGAAAGCAACCTCCACACTCAAGATAGTCCATAATGTACAGTTTATTTACAAAAATATATACACTATACCAGTTAGAAAACACATTAAACACAAAGCGTAGTGTAATTTGACGTACGGGAAAGATTAGGTGTGTGAGAGGCCTAGGTCAACCTACACAGTGGCTCAACTGCACGGTTCGTCCAGTTTTTGCACTTACCCGTACCTGAGATGTTTACCAGAAGAGTATGCTCTCTCTAAGCTCAGCAGGCTTCCCAAGTGCCAGAGACTACCATGTACCCAGTCTCTTGCTGTTCTCTCCTGTTTTCTTCTGTTTGCTCTGCAATTTAAGGATTTCATGGACAGACACTTCCGACAATCATAAACCTTCCTTGCGGGAACAGCTTTCCCCCAGGTCTGCTTTTATCGGATGATAATAAAGTTTACACTTATGTTCGCTAATATTCCGACTCACTTGTTTACATCCAGTAGTTCAATACCTGGCAAGTGGTCATCACTGAACCACACGTGGATCCAATTAGCGAGATTGGCATTTCTTTTGTTCCCTCTCTGTTTTCAACCTTGTTTACAAGCCAACTCTTTACATCTCTTAGCGAGATTGATGTTTCTTTTGTTCCCTCTCTATTTACAACTTGTTTATAAGCTAATACTTTACAAAAGAGTTAATCTTTCTATGGAAGATTTTGGGTGATATTGTTTATGTTTAGTAAGTGTTGTTCTTCTTTTCCTTTGGAGTTGCTTGAGATCTGTGCACATCCAGTGTATAACTCCAAAAAAATAAGTGACTACAGGGACAACATATGTATTAATAACTTTAATAGTGTGTTTTGCATTTAGGTGTGTTCTTAGTATTGCATGTAATCTGTTCTGATATTCAAGCGTTTATCTTCATTTTACATGTGCATGTTCTGTAAGTTTAACTGTTGGAATCCTAAATATTATTATTATTATTATGTTGGGTTTTGTGAGTTATACTCGGTTCACACTGGTGGCTCTGTACTATGCCGGACCAGAGTCAAGGCATAGCAACCAAAACAAAACTAAAATTAAATAAGTGTGTCAGTGTGTGTGTCTGTATTCAGGAATTTCCTAACAATGTGGCATGTATTCAATGTAGTGGCCTTCTGTAGTGTTATGTATGTATTTCTATTCAATTGTAATGTTTTCAGGCTTTTGTGTAGTGTGTGTGGTATCACACCTGTACAGGAGAGAACGATAGATACAATAAGCACCCTTTCCATTTTCCACAGATGCCTTATTTCCTGGGCAAGTTCTGTGTACTTACTGACTTTTTCAGTGCATGTGTTTTGTACATTGTAAGTGTTTGGAATGGCTGTCTATAATGCATGTGATTTTATTGTGTTTGTCAATGAGTGTGATGTCTGGTCTGTTGTGGTAAATTGTTTTATCTGTGATTATGGCTCTGTCGCAGTACAGTTTGTGCGTGTTGTTTTCCAATACTGTCTGTGGAATGTATTTGTAGTATGGTTTGTGGATGTCTACCAATTTGTGTTTCTTTGCAAGCTCTTGGTGTATTATATTTGCTACTTGATTGTGTCTATGTAAGTAATCTGTCTGTGCCAAGAGCTTGCAACCAGAAGTGATGTGTTGTATGGTTTCTGGCATGATGTTACATTTTCTGCATTTGTCATTTGTGAGTGTTGTATCTTTGAGTATATGTTTCTGTAGTTTTTAGTATTATGACCTGATTCTGTATGGAAATCATGAATCTTTCCATCTCCCCAAAGAGGCATCCGCAAGCTAACCAGCTGTTTGACACAGTTTTGTCAACAAAAACCTGGGCCAGGTCATAGGGATGTCTGCCATGGAGTGCTTTTTGTACCCATGATTGCTTAACAGTGTCTATGCTATTTATAAGCTGTGTCATGTCCATACATTGTGAATGTAAATTTAATGGTGCATTATTTGAGTTTGCTAGGCAGAACCAGAGAGGACTCAAGGAATTTCCTTGAAAAATTCCTCGCCTAATGAATATCTTATTTGTTTGTATGGAAGTGTTACTAACCCTGAAATGCAGTGTTGTTCTCCAGTGCTGCATAATGTTTTCAAAGAATGCAATGAGTGATGGATGTATTTTGTACATGTGTAGAATATGTAGCAGCCAACTGTGTGGAACGCTGTCGAATGCTTTTCTGTAGTCTATATATGCCATATGTATGTTTCTGTGTTGTTTGTGTGCTTGCCGTAAAATGACTGAATCTATGAGTAACTGTTCTTTGCATCCCCTGTGATTTCTACTGCAACCTTTTTGTTGTTCTTTAAAAATGTCGTGTTCTTCAACATGTTTGTATATTTTGTTTGTAATGCAGGATGTGAATAATTTGTAGAGTGTTAGAAGACATGTAATTGGTCTGTATTATGTGGAGTCTGTGGTGGTGTTTTTAGGTTTCATGTAGGTGATGCCCTGAGTAAGAAATTTTGGCATGTCTTGTGGATTGGTGATGATGTGTGTCAGATGATCAGCTAGTTCCTGGTGCAGTGATGTAAATTTTTTGTACCATAAATTGTGAATGTTGTCTACACAGGGTGTCTTCCAGTTGTGTGTTCTGTTCACAGCATAGCGGATGACGTGTATGTTTATTTCAGCACAGGACATAGTTGGTATGTTATGCAAGTTTTTGTTCTCCTTCTCAATCCAGCCTGCATCAGCATTGTGTGCAACAACACTGGACCAAAGAGAAGACCAATAAGTTGTGAGTAGTGTTGCAACGAATAGTATATTCGGCCTCAGGTCGAATACTGAATATTCGGCCAGAAGCATGGTCAAATATGCGAATATTCAGCTTGATTAACGCACGTACAAAAATTGGCGTGCAAACCGCATTATGGCAAGGACCCTACTCTCTATTGGCCCGCTGTCATTATGCTTTGCGAATCGTCTTAATACTTGACATAAGGCGGACAGAATGAGCATCATGGCAGTATGTAATAGGTAATGATATCAAATGTGGATAACGACGAAATGACCTACACATGTAAATAATGGAAAAAGAAGAGAGAAAGACTGTGAAGTGAAAATGTGAAAATAAATAT